GAGTCCGTCCGGTTAAATTTTCCCACAACATGACCCCCACTTTTTCTCGCTTGTTTTTGAGAGTTGACACGCGAAAAAAAGTTGAGAAGAACCGCAAGGTCGAGAAGCATCGATATCCGGGGTCAATTTTTTTTTGGTGAGATTGGCCGTTTCTGGGCGAACATTACCCCGAAATTACCCCGAAACGCCGCGTATTGTCCCGAAACGGCACGTATTACCCCGAGTACAGCCCCGCAGGCAGGGCCCTGCACCCTTCGCTCGGCAGCGCCGAGTAGAACAACCTTTTTCGCTTGATAGATATATATTCTATCTACATTAAGTTGTGTCCTATATATTCTATCTATCTAGAATACTATCTAGAGTCCGTCCGGTTAAATTTTTCCACAACATGACCCCCACTTTTTCTCGCTTGTTTTTGAGAGTTGACACGCGAAAAAAAGTTGAGAAGAACCGCAAGGTCGAGAAGCATCGATATCCGAGGTCATTTTTTTTTTGGTGAAAATGGTCGTTTTGGGCGAAAATTACCCCGAAACTACCCCGAAACGCCGCGTATTGTCCCGGAACGGCACGTATTACCCCAAGTACAGCCCCGCAGGCAGGGCCCTGCACCCTTCGCTCGGCAGCGCCGAGTAGAACAACCTTTTTCGCTTGATAGATATATATTCTATCTACATTAAGTTGTGTCCTATATATTCTATCTATCTAGAATACTATATACCATGTCGGTTAAGACCACATGTAAAAATTTTTATATCGAAGTATAAAGGAGCAGGACGCAAATGTAAGGTAGAATATCTATCTACCTATATGGTTACACAGATACAACATCGCGCCGGCTGGTGCTGCCGGTGAAGTGAGGTGGTGCGAGCTTTGCCGCTACGAAACGCTTCAACATCTTATCGGCAGCCTCGTTAGACTTTTTTCTGGCCTCCTTGGCCGCGGCAAGGGCGGCCTGCTCTTTGGCCTTGCGCTCCTCCGCGGTTGTTGCTTGGCCACGAGCCAGCAACACGTTGTCGGCCGTGTCGGTGGGCGAGCGGTGGTTCGTCCAATTCGTGAGGTCTCGGGTTTGCCATAGTGACTACTGCTGTCGCTGCTGTGTTGGCTGCTGCTGTGGTCCTCCTCGTCTCCTTCATAACATGTGTCGTGGTGGTCATGTGGGGGTGAAGTGTCCGCAGCGGGGGATGGTGACGCGGCCGCTTTCGCGCCGAACCGACCACCTGTTCTTGTTTGGCAGCTGCCACGCTTCTTGTTTCGTTTACCGGGGGGACGCCCAACCATGTATGGGCTTGGATGGGCCCTCAGTGGGGTCAATGTGACTGCTGTAGCGTGTGGTGTGTGGTGTGTGGTGTGTTGTGTGGTGTGTGTGGCGGCACCAAACTTTGATGGGCCATAACTCTTTCAGAAAATTTTTGTTCGCAAAAAAAAAAAAAACGGTCCGTGGTGCAGGTCCAATTCGCCCGAATCCGTCGAGTTTTTCGAAATCTATCGGTTTGTTTCACCATTAAAAACATAACTCTGGGACCAGCTGGAATGAGTCTTTTTGCCCATTTCTCCGTTGTATCTCAGCGAATACAAAGTTGAGTTGGGTCGCCTAGCCCTCGGCGTGATACGCTCAAAACCGGTCATAAAAAAAAAAGTGGACATCACACACGCCCTACTAAAACATAACAAAATCTGGCAAAATCTCGACGGAATCGCGATTTTCTCGCCAACCAAAAAAAATAAACTGCTCCGATCAAACGATCCGCCTGAAATAGAGTTTTTTACGATATAAGGTATGTTATTAGGGGGTACGTCAGTCGCTCGCAATATATTCCCGAGTGATTCTAGGCAATCGTGGAAAAATTATAGGAATCTGAAAAATTGAGAATGTGGAAGCAAAACAATACTGCGTCTTTAACGGCCCTGGATACCGCTTTATGGACCTGTCCATTTTCATTAGAGGAATCCTTCATGATTGTGCGCGCTGTTGCGAGAGGAGAAGACTCTCCGTATGATCTATATATATATACTGCTGCCGTATTCTGCATACTTGCCGCCGAATGGCGGAGAGATGGCACCAGGTGCGATCGTTTTCATATGTTTGTTCTGTTTTTTTTTTTATTTGCTCAATACACACTTTCGGACTGGGGCTCCAAATTTTCCGGTTTAACGAAGCAGATTTCGAAATAAGAATGTTTCCTGGAAACTTCGTGCAGGTGAAATTTTCAGATTTGAGCGGCTTCATGTGATTGGCTGTGTGTCAACAGTCCTCCCACGAACTTCCCCTGTCCGCAGGTGCTGTTCTTTTTTCGTGGTGCGCTGCGTGACAGCTAGCTGTGCACCTTGCTTGATGACAAGGGGCTCTCCCTGCTGCTGCTGTTGAGTGTGCGTGCGTGCGTGCGCGTGTCCGCGTCTGCGTCGCTCCCTCAACCCCAGCACACGAAATCGCACCACACCATACGGAGACAGGAAGTGATTACTGTACACTGGCCGACGACAGCCTCTGAACGAAGTGCTACAGTTGAGGCCCGCAGAACCTCCTATTTTGAGCGAGGCTCAGTTCGTTTTGGCTGCCCCAGCCCGAGCACGTGTTCTTATTGGCCATGTTCTTCGCCGTCCCATTTTTCTCTAGCGAAATGTTCTTGTTCTTATTTCATCACCAATTGGCCCTGTTGGCGTACGTTGCTGTAGTGAACCTTGAGACGATCCTCTAAGTACTGAAGAGGCGTGCGCTCCTCCTCCTTCCAGAGGTCCGCGGCGTTGTCCTCGAGGATGCGCAGCTGGTTGACAGCATTGGCTTTGAACCTATAGTCGTATCGCCTGCGCTTGGGAGCTCCACGAGTTTCCTTGGTTTCGCGGTCCATAAAACTGCCGCTTTACAAGTCTAGATCGAGAAAGCGCTTCCGCTGGAGGACAAACGAAGTCGCCCCCGTCGCATCATCGACCTTCACGTGCCAACAACGCCTAGGCCCGGCTTCTTCCCACGGCAGGACACGCCCTTCGAGATTCATCCGTAGCATCCGCCGCAGCCGCACGCCGTTGGACATGTTTGCACTGCTGTGCTGCGTTCTCACGTGGATCCCAAGGCCTTGCTCGTTCACGAAGGTCATGGGACAGTGAGGGCAGGTCGGCAGGACTCCGGGGCCGGAGGCGGGAAGCTGATACCGAATACGAACTCTTTCACTCCACCACGAGTTCGCTCAATCTGCTCGGTGCGATGGGAAAGGGCGGAATTGCCGTGTAGGGGATTCAACGAGCCATGTGACGTGTCAGTCGCTCTTAGTTATGGCGCTGTTGAATTCAAACTTCCGTGGATGCCGCTGGCAAAAGTAGCTATGCACTCGGAACGAATACTTCCTTGAAAAGATTATCGTGAATCACACGAGAGAGTGGGGAGATGACGTCTGTTTCGTTTGGGTCACATTCGACTAATGAACTTACCTATTTTTTTTTATGTTTTCTCTTGCTTAGACTATCGGGAATTGAAAAAAAAAAAAAACTGTGTAGCAGAACAAAGCAACAGCGTGCGTCGGATACATATGTAACCAGTNTCTGTTTCGTTTGGGTCACATTAGACTAATGAACTTACCTATTTTTTTTTATGTTTTCTCTTGCTTAGACTATCGGGAATTGAAAAAAAAAAAAAACTGTGTAGCAGAACAAAGCAACAGCGTGCGTCGGATACATATGTAACCAGTCTCACCGGTTGTCCGCTGCCAATCGAGAACGCGTTGCAGATGTTGCCGCCTAAAGTGCCTTTCGCAGCTCTCTCCCTGGCGTGCTTCCCTCGACCCACCTTCCTCCTCGCGGTACCCGCNGGCGGGTGCTGCTGGGAATGCCCTGGATTTCACCATCAATCTGCGCGATCCACTCTCCTTCGTCGAAGATACCGTTCTGCTTCAACCCCCACGCGCTCTCGATGGCGTCCCACCGCTCCTTCGCAACGGAGTTTCCCGCCTTCACATGTGTTTTTATCGTCTCGAAGTGACGGTCAAGAATCAGACCCCGTCCTTTCAAGTCTGCAAGTTTGCCAAGATCTTTCAACAACCCATGGGATAAGGGATTGGACAGGGACATGATCCCCTGTGTACGGCAGGCAACTCGTGGCCCGCTGCACGTGCGTGGCCTGGCAGCCGCCAAGGGGGCACGAAGTTTACAGTGCCCACCCTCTCCTGCAAAAATTGCAGATTCCGAGGTTTATGTATGCACCCACCTTCGGCACACCTACCCCCCTGCGAAATCCAATACTTGGATCACCCCCCCGCCCGTCCCCCCCTCCCCGTTCGAATGTTCTTACCTCGCAGCTGCTGAATGTGCTCTTGTTGTTATCTTTAGCAGCAGTGGTACACCTCGGCGTGCGGTCTTATTCTTAACTGCAGGTGCAATCTGAGCACGTGTTCTTACCGGCAAATTCTTATTATACATGTATATATATATTTTTGCACCATATTCTTAAGTGCCATGTTCTTAAAGTGCGGGCCTCAACTGTATGTCGCGTTTCAAGCGTTCGGGAGAGAGACGGGGGGGTTGGGACCGGGAGGCACATCCGAGTCAAACGCTTTTCTTTCAAATAGTAAACACCAGAGACTCGTGCGCGCGGAAGGACGCGCCCGCCTTCACCAGGAGGCCACTACGTGCTCTTCCTCCTCTCTGCTGTTCTTCTTTGCTGGCGGCGTTGCCACCACCTCTAGGTTCGTGCGCTCTTCCTCCCCCTTGTCTCAATCTGACGGGCGTGTTGCTGACCTCAAGCCAGCCTCCCTGTTTTTGTGTTGGTGGCGCGCCAACTCCAAGACCTTTCGCTGGGCGCTGGCCTTCTCTTTGGCCGCGCTGACATATGTTTTCAGCAGACTGCTGTGTGTGCGTGCGGTGGTGCGTGTGATGTGTTACTTCGAAGAAAGTTGCTAAATAATAAACCGCGAACGAATTTCCACAAACCAAGCCTCCCTCGGCTCTTTAATCTGTAATTTTTTTCCTTGTTGTGGGTTCTGGCGAGACCGTAAGGAGCGATCCTCAGAACGACGGCTATACTCAAAATATGTTTCCTTATTTCGGAATGTTTTTGAGTCCGAAACTGTCAAATATGACACAACGAATCCATCTCTATCTAAGACAAGAGTCCGAGACAGATTCGCAATGAATCCATAGCGTCAGTGAAGGCTACCTGTGTTTCCATGATTTCCCGAGCAGCATACAACGACACCTCCCCCGTGGGTAACAGGGTCAACAAGACAGTACGGTAGACGTTTTGTGCATCTACCTGCATGTTATGCTGGGAATGTGCGGAAGCAATGTGTTGGGTAGTTGGTTTGTCGGGTGTGTTGTCGGTGACACCCTTATCGAACTGTTCCACGTTTGTTTGAGGTGTTTGTGTATGGTATCATAAATAACTGTTCACGTCGTAGAGGGGCACGGGAGAACATTTTTACGCCTTCCGTGTTGTGCTGACGTGGTTATATATTGATTGGTGCAGCCAGCGTGTCATATTTGGATGGGTATGGCGTGGGTCGGATGTATGTGGGGTGTATCGGCGTAACATGTAGTTTGTGGTATCATGAATCGGTAGTGGGTTGGTCATTTGGTTTATGGAAACGGCAGGTCAGATGTGAAGAAGACAGCAGCAGAAAGCAATGGGCACGGATGGTAGTGTGGAAAGTAGGTCTTTGAAACTCTATGGGCGCCGCGGGGCGACAAAACAAAACAGGGTACAAACCACTCGGAAAAAGACAACAAAATACAGATGTTTTTGTACTTAGCACCAGTTGGCATCACTGATAAATCATCAGTGCATAGACTTATAAAGACTCGAAATAAGTCCAGTACCCAGCCGGTTTTCCTCCACTTACTGAAAAGACTCCACCACATCCCGTTCGACTGTGGGTATATCTCGAATGGGTAGTCTTTCTATGCGTGTATTTATTTCTCCTTAATTCTTGCATGTACTTCGAGACGGCCCCATGTGGTAGCCGAAGTATCCTAGTTAAACTGGTGTTATGACGTGCCCTTTGTGTGAAGTTCACCCGAACGCTCCTTGCCACGTTCATATGCGTGATTTGTCATCTGACATCTAACCGCACACCCTAGGCTGTAAACCCCTTCCGTTAATTGTCATAAAATGGGTAACCATATCATATGTATGAAATACTTGAGTTTTGCTTCAATACTTTGTCTATTCTTAGAATTTTGAAGGAGATATTCAGACGAATATATCTAAATGTGAGCTTCTTATGAGCACTGCATTCTGTTCGAAAATTGTTTTATTTTATTTTCATTTTATTTGTGTTTTTTTTTTTGTGCTTTTATTTTATTTGCACTGTTTTCTTTTGTAATTTTCTTTTGTTGTTGTTTTAATTTTCTTGTGTGTTTATTTCCCATTATCGCATGTAGAGTAATGTAAAACAATTAATATGACTTCCCCACAGCTGCGTTTCCTGTGCGCATAATCTATACGTTGGGGTATGGACAATGAAACGTGGACAATCGGATATGGACAGAGCTTGGGTTTACCTCCCTGGAGCCTGGACACATCCATCCCACGTTGCCACGACAGCAAACAAACGCTGGTATCGTGCTTCTGAAACGACTCCTTCTTACCAAGACCCTGTACTTGGAAACTACGTTACCACGACGCTGGTATTGCGCTTCTGAGAAGACTACTTATTGCCAAGATCCTGTAATCTGTAATTAGTAACTCGTACAAAATCGAATAGATATGGCGAATCGCCATTATTCCCGTAGACGAAGGGAAGCGCCAGATCAGCCTGGATATGCTTTTCTTTCTCCTACATGGTTTATGCGCTCCTTGCATGAACGCTCAGCATTAGCCTGCATGAACGATCACCAAAAGTTGAGACGGATTTGGAGATACCGGGACAATTTGCTTGCCAAAGGGAAAGAAGGAAAGGATGGCAAAAATGGTACTCCTCCTGGAACTTGGAGTAGACAAGAGGAGGGTAGACCATTCGCCCCGTACAATACGGCTCCTCAAGGAACTTATCCGACACCAACAACGCACGTAAGCTATATTTATGCGATTGTCAACTTGCACTCTGGCAAAACGTACGTAGGACGTACCAACCGGTCCCCCTATAAGCGCTTTCATGAACACGTTGATTCTGGAGATCCTTATGGTGTTGCTATTCGTACCCAACACGACAATTTTGTAGTAGTAGTGGTCCTTGAAGCAGTGCCCACACGGCGACCAGGAGGACACTTGGTAGGAGTTCCTCAGTGTAGACATGTACAAAGAAGAGAAAACTCGTGGACTCATCGTCTGGGCACAGTAGTTTCTGGTTATAATAGAAGAGTTGAGTTGTCCGCACCTCCCACACTGTCGTTACCTTGGTATGGCTTTGGTACTAGACCCATTAGACGCTCTAGGCACGAAGTAAGGATAAATTCGCGAAAAGTTTTTAAGTCGTCTCGCAGGTACCTATCCCGGGACTGGAACGAAGGTTCAATTACTTGACTGAATTGGTTCGGAATCGTGGTTATCTTGTAGAGAACTACATTCGTAAGCTTAAACTTAACACAGTAGTGAGTATTCTGAGATATATAGGCCAACAACGAGGCCGACATTTCGGTTCCACCGCATTTAAACGTCTTAGAGAGCGTTATTTGGAATCATTCCCAAGCCCTGCAAAACCAATGAAAAAGAAACCTCGGTTGCTTATCGTTGGTTTTTCGAGTGCTCTTGCAGAGGTTGTCCAGCTAAGGCAGATCCTCATGAGAGATAATATCCTGAGCCTAATTCCACCGGAAGCTCGTGCCTTTCGTGACCTTGCTTCCCAGATCATGCCGGGATTCAAGGACGGAGATACTACGGATAAAATTTTTCTCAATGCCACTAGAGTAGGGAGAGAGACTGAACGTACAAGCTCTTGTATTTGTAATGACACCCATTGGAAGAAATATGCAGTTGAAATGAAGGATGGTTCTCGGGTGGTGATCAGTACGGATATGACCTGCCTGCAAAATGCAAATGC